TGAGGGGAAAGGGAAAAATAATACAAGGGGGAGGAATGAATTACAGTAGTGGGGGTAGAGAGAGAAGAGGGGAGGGGAGGGGAGAGGAGGGGGGGATAGTAGAGGATAGGAAAGGCACCAGAATACAACAGACACTAGGATGGCAATATGTAAATCAATGGAAGTGTAACTGATGTGATTCTGCAAGCTGTATACGGGGTAAAATGGGAGTTCATAACCCACTTGAATCAAAATGTGAAATATGATATATCAAGAACTATGTAATGTTTTGAACAACCAACAATAAAAAAAAGGAATTGAAAAAAAAAGAAATATGGAAAAAAATATCATGAGAGGAAACAACAAGGGTTTTCAGAATATCAATTGACTAGATTTGTGGAAGGATATTAATAAAAGATACACCACAGATAATACCTGTGAGAAAACATCATGTGTCAGATGACCAGTCAAGTCATCACCCTACCTTGTGTCTGTTGTATCTGTGATAAGTGCAGACACTCTTCTAAGAACTTTTAATAGGTCCTTTTATTATGTTGACTTAAAAACCTCCTTAAATACTTATTTATTTATTTACTTTAGTTGTCGATAGACACAATACCTTTTTTTTTTTTTTATTTTTATGGGGTTTTGAGGATCAAACCCAGTGTCTTCCATATGCAAGGTGAGCACTCTACCACTGAGCTACATCCCCTGCCCCTTAAATACATATTATGTTTATCCTAAACTAATGGTTTTCCCCAACAGATGACAAACAGGAGGCTCAGAAACTGCCCACTTTGCCCAGACTCATACAACTTAGGTGACAGACGTTCTAACCTGTTCAGACTAGTTGTAGGGCTTGTGCTTCTAAAGACCTTAAAATAATCCTTCAAGACTCCTTGAAGAAAACAAACTCATTGTGGATGGCTAAACCACACATTCTCTTCATATCCCATCATTATCACATGAATTCTTTTCTCATGTGGTAAACTTAGATTTTTAAGTTGGCAGTAACTTCTTTTCCTGTTATCCACCCTCAGAGCCTGCTTTAATTTCATAATCATTACCATACACTGTGTTTTTCTTTTTATACATAGGAGCTTACCTAAGCAAATCCAAGCACTCAAAATATAAAAAGCTGTTCTCAGGTAAAGGAGGAAATGACTGTTTATCAGGAAATCTTTATCAGTGTGAAATGGAGTGAAAGTGGGTGTTATTAGCATGAAATCATGTAGAATGACCCTGAAAGGTTTTAAAAAGTAATCAGAGATATTCCATCCATGCCTACCAATTCGTAATTGCCTCAAGTTCACCTTTCAAACAAGAAAACAAATTCTGAATTCACAATTTATTTCTGCTGCATAACAAGTTGTGCCTAAAAGATTCGTGACCACCAACTAAATCAAAATGGACAGAACTCTGCCAAGTTTGAATTCTTCATGTCCTTAAACAAAAATTTAATATTATATGACTTGTTAGGAAGAAATATGGTTATTACAAAACATTATATATGGAAATAATTTGATAAGTATGTCAAGTATTTAAGAGAAAATGCCTTGATTATTGCAGTGAAAGCAATAATATCTTTGCTAAAATTTAATCTATTTCCAAAACCTCAGTCACTTTATCTAATATGCATTTTATTGGTGAAATACTTAAAATATACAAACCAAACATAAAATAATGAAAAGGAAATCTAAGTGAATACCTAACTGATTTCAATAAGTTTTGGAAAACTTAGATATAATGAAAATAAAACAAGCATAATACATCAAAATATAAGTGAAATTACATTTCAAAGCATTGATTTGTTGTATCTGTAATAAATGGGAGAACAGATTAAAACACTTCATGTGTAAGTAATTGTTTCATTCAATAGGACAAAATACTAGTAAACAATTAGAAGAATGGACAAATACTATGAGTTTAAAAGAGACAAGCAAAGAATCATAAAAGATGAAAAGAGTCATGAAAAATCAAAATCATCTCAGCAGGCAAATAAATTCAAAACAATAGTTATCATATTTTCTTGTCAAATTGGATAAGAAATGCATATTTGATTTTTCAAGCTCATCTGGCTTCAATGCAATTCATAACCCATATATGGCTTAGACGAGTATAAATCAGAAGGTTTTAAAAACTATTATTGAAAGGTATAGGTCAGAAGCTTTAAAAATCTTCCTGTCTTTGGAGGTAATAATTCAACTTCTATGAATATACTTTGGATGAGGGCATTTAGAGATTTTAAATAAATATACAATTGTGTCTATTAAAACAGTTTGTAACACTGAAAAATAAAAACCAATATAATTATCCAACATTGAGAGAATATTTATGAAATATCTTTTAATGGTCTATTCTTGATTATCTGAACTTGGCCTACAGTAGAGTTGGGGAATAAAACAATGAAGTTCTGTGCCCATCTATTTGCAGGGACTATGCTGCCCATTATAGGCATAACACTGAATTCCTTCGGAAAAAAATAAAGCCCTCATTTTGATATAACAAACACAGATATACATGTGGCACCAAATCAA